TATATATATATATATATATATATATATGAATAAGGATTTTGCTGGTTTACTTTACACTTGATTTCTTCTGAAGGTACTTTATCCCTATAGGGACTTGTATGATCCTAAGATATTTTCCATCAGGATAACCTCAAATTGTAGTGGATAATAGCTAATTACTGGTAATATTATTTAGTTGAGGAAGGCCTATGCAATTCCTTAAAGGAGCCATTTCCATACCCATATACCATCTTCATGCAGTGTAAGGCCTTACGGTTAGATTATGTCTTAATACGCTTTCTGAGTCAGTTTGAGGGCCCAGATTTATCATCTGAGTAGGGGTTTAGCAGCTTGTGCTGGCTCAGAAATGGAGTGAACTGTCCCTTGCTCTAAGCAATGAGTGATGAGAAGAAAAAGGGACCAAAAATAGTATGTTTGTTGTAGGATAAATTCAGAAATCGGAAAAAGTCCAAATTAAACGTCTATTCCAAAAGCGGCTGAGCAAAGAGAAGAAAGATCAACCCTGTAGGAAAAGGGATAGTGTATCGGGTTCTGGGTTTTTGGGCACATAGAAGGAAGAACTAGAGAGATTCTGGAGATGCTGGTCATTCAAGGTGGAGCCATTCTCCAAAGAGATTCCTGACTTCTGTGGCAAGGGGGACCCGTGAAATCTGCTCTGGCAAATTAGCCCATTCTCAAAGTCATTTGCAAGAAAAACTAAGCGGAAAACACACAGAGGTATTGTTTCTTTAATTCTTTTTTTGTAAATGTTAACATCTAATTCCTAAAGGCATTGCTCGTTAAAAGTATCAGATTGATACATGGCATTTGTTCAGTTTGGAAAAACCTATAATAGAAGCAATGCCAATCTCAGAGTCTAGTAAACTTAGATTCAGACTTAAAGGACACTGAATAACAGACTGAAATTTTTTATAGTACTAGTATAATTGACTATGGAGATTAAATGATTTATGAACACTTATTACTCTTTTTAAAAATTTTTTTAATGTTTATCCATCTTTGAGAGAGAGGGAGAGACAGAGCATGAGCAGGGGAGGGGCAGAGAGAGAGGGAGACACAGAATTCAAAGCAGGCTCCAGGCTCTGAACTGTCAGCACAGAGCCCGACACGGGGCTCAAACTCAGGAACCGCTAGATCATGACCCTCAGGTCATGACCCGAAGAAGCCAGACGCCTAGCCGACTGAGCCACCTAGGCGCCCCTAACACTTATTACTCTTTACCTGTCTTTTGACTTACCAAAATTACATATTTGAAAACTTTGTGTATTATTTTTTGCATTAAGATTCTGTTATATAGGTTTGGCTACTTCCTTTACCATCACTAAACTTTAAGAAGTGTCTTAAGCATAGTAACCCAAAGCAATTAAGTACTGCAAATAAAGCTAGTATTGTCCTGTACTGTCTTTAATCTTGTATAAGAACAGTATGATTTGGCCTTCTGGTCATTTATGTGGAATTAATTACATTTTTTTAAAAAGGTTATATTCTGTATAACATTATTATACTAGCTAAAAGAGATCTTATTTATTAATGATTTCCTCCCAATACTAGCCCAGAGACTGTCTTATTGTAGTTTGATGACTAGAAGGTTATTCTCAATAATATTTTGGAATTTTTCCAAAGTGTATGCATATATTAGTCAGGTTCTCCAGAAAAACAGAGCCTCTAAGATATAAGTAGGTATACAGAAAGAGATTTATTTTGGGGATATTGGCTTATACAATTATGGAGGCTGAGAAGACCCGCCACCTGTTGTCTGAAAGCTGGAGGCCAGGAAAGCTGATTAGGTAGTTACAGTCCAAACCTGAAAGTCCAAGAACCAGGAGCACCAATGTGCCAGGGCAGGAGAAGATGGATGCCTCTCCTCAAGCAAAGAGCATTCATCCTTTGCCTTTTTTGTTCTATTCAGCTCTCAGTGGATCACATGATGCCTGCCTGCATTGGTGAGGCAGATCTTCTTTACTCAGTCTACTGATTCAAATGCTAATCTCTTCCAGTAATACCCTCATAGATACATCCTGAAATAATGTTCTGCCAGTTATCTGGGCATCCATTAGCCCAGTGATATTAATACATAAAATGAACCATCACAATCCACAAGTATCAAATTGGATAATATAGATAATAGTTACTTATTCTACATGTTCTTCATGTTATCCAATTTGATGCTAATATATATAAAATATGATGACACTGTTTTGTCTTATATATCCAATGATTTGGAGAAGGACACACACAGAGAATAATTTACAGTAGCAAAGTGTGAAATGTATGAGTTGTCATTCATTTGTTTTACATCCTAAGTCCAAATATTAATTACTCAACATGGAGCTCATTATACTGAGCATACACACACGTACACACACATTCAATGCACATACACGCTCTTGTGTGTGCACATATAAACGCACATGTACCCACAGCTTGTGAGTAATAAATAGAGAATAGGTAACTAAGAAAGGTTGCTTATTCCTTAGGGCCATTTTCTTCAGGGTATGTTGGATTAGGACTACTTAAAGAACCATAAGAGATCATCATATCTTTTAAAGAGATTTTTTTTTTTCCATAAAGCCCACATACATAGCCACCTCACTTTTCTGGGCTATAGATACGTTCCTGAAGAGAGACAGAGTTGAAAAGCCAAAAATAAATATCATAAAGACCATACAGTGTAATAAGAGTGTCTCAGAACCTTGCTGATAGCCTATTGTATTTAAACTTTGAATATAGTTTCAGAATTCTGTTTTCTGGTTCCCAGGTTAGGTAAAATGAGCTGGAAGCAGAGACAGTGCTATTAGAGGCACATACGTAGTAAATATAAAAGCTGAAAGGCTGAAATAATAAAGACAAAGCTGTACTGAAAGAATATAGCAGAGTATGGAACCTGTCATATAGGAACAAACTCTTTCCTCCC